ATATTTCCCTCTTGGTTCTTATGTTGCTGTAGTTGACAAAAGTAAGGGAATAGAATTTAGGTGCATGAGATAGAAAGCAGCAAATCTTCTAGAGCCTCAGACCCTGACAGCAAGCCCACACTGTTTAGTCCCTAATGACATTTGCAAATTCAGATACTGCAGGTGATTTTTAAGTGAAAATGCAGTGGTGTCTGTATAAAATGCAAGTGTATCAGATCTCAAGTGCATCTTGCAAACTATTATAAAACGTATTTTTTATGTTAAGTTAGATGTCCTAATTTATTACTGAAAACTTCACTGGAAGTATGAGAGCTTTGATAAACCAGAAATGGTACATGTGCATGCAGAGAAAGAAATTTAATTAAAATTGATGTTTTCATTTCCTCTAAACTTTCCAGTCGTTTAATTCAGATGCTGGTGCCAGAAGAATTGAAAGACCTTTTTTTTTTTTTTTTTTTTTGTAATTTCATAACCTCCTGAAAAATCTGCCAAGATGTTGAAAAGGACTTCAAGAAAATACAAGTTAAGAAATTGTGTGTTGTGATCCCATTTTTGTTAAAACAACAAAAACAAAAGGTGGGAAAATGCATGGTACACCCTTGAAAAAGTCTCAGATGCTGTGCATAATTGGGCACAAATCCTGGGTTTCTGCCTTCCACAGCTCAGGGTGCTTGTGTGTGTTTTCTTTGACAGTGAACACATGTTACCTTTTCAACATAAAGAGCCATTTATTCCACCCTTCCCCTTTCAACTGGGTCACTCATAATTTACTGCAAAAAGAGAGGACTCTTTCTTGCTTAAAAAAAAAAAAAAAAAAAGGAAATTGAAGCAGTTTTTAAATTTGACTATCCCAGTGTTTTATAACTGTCTCCTTGCTTTAAACCCAGTTTCTCAGTGGAAAGCTCGCCATCATAGCCTTGAGGTTCTTGCTTTAGGATGATCTGCTATGTTTATATGTAAAGGACTTACAACCTAGATAGAGAAAAATAGGACACATTATTTATTTACTTTTTGCAATGCTGGGAACCAAACCCAGAGCCTTGCACATGCCAAGCAAGCCCTCTGCCACTGGGCTACACCGCAGCCCAGGACATGGAGTTTAACCTCAGTAGAGCTTTGGAGTGTTCTAGAATAGTGCCTGACTAAGCTGCAATGAGTAATGGTCTGCAGGGCTGCCTGGCCAGGGTAGACTTTGAGGGAAATTAGGGCTCCATGGGGAAGATGAGGAATCTATGTTCCTACAGTGAGGAGCAGATGCTCTAAAACAACTCTCAGTCCAGTTTCTGCAAGAAAGATTAGTAAGCTACTTCTGTGTACCTACTTTTCAAATATAACCACATTGACATTCTAGTGGCTACAAAATAGCACCATTTTCTCTTAGTTTTTTTTTCTCTCTTTGAATGGAAAAATGCCAGAGGATTGAAAATATTCATTATTATCCCAAGGCATTTATGTTTTGAATGAAGAGAAAAGGAAGGAAGGAAGGTGACAGAAAAATTAACTCGTGATTTTTTTCCTGAATATGTCCTTGGAGATGCAGAGCTAAAAAGTCAGCTCACTTAGGTTTCAAGGAGGATGAAAGGAAACACACAGCATGGAAGCTAAGGTACATAGAAGTCTGTGAATAGATAATGTAAGCCGAAGATTCTAGAACAGGAGGCAGCAAATGTTTTTTATTCAGGGTGAGAGAGGAACAGGCTTCCTGGGCCACATACCGACTCTGCAACTCCTCAACTCTTCCACCAGCGTTGGAAAGCAGCCACAGGAGGCAAGAAGGAATGTGCATGGCTGTGTTCACATAAAACTTTATTGACAAAAGCAAGTCATGGGCCACAATTTCCAGCCTTCTCTAAGGAAGGAAAAGCTGGAAAGAAAGCCTGGCTTTGAAGGCCAATCTAAGGAGCTTTCCCTTCATTTCTTCAATGCCAGAGGATTTCAGAGATTTTTATTTCCTTGGAGAACCCAGTTCGAGTGTGTGACGTGCCCTTTTTGTCATAAGATTCCATCCGAGTTACCATAAAAAGTTGCCAAGAAAGCTAAGGATAAGCAGATGCTAAAGAGTCATGCAGTAAGATTACTGTCCAGCACCTTAAGAATTTGCACTCGTGTGTCCAAAGTCCTCTGGACTAAGAGAGGGAAACAGCAGTTTCTTCATTGGCCATTGGCAAGGAATAGGACAATATGGATATGGTTATGGGAAAATATGTGCAAGTCTATGTTATGATTTAACTGATTTGCAAGACCTGTGCCTTGAAGATTTGGTCTTAAACCTGAGGAATATTGGCAGACTGGTCCTTTGGGGGAGAATTGTACCCAAACACACACAGGAACATTTTGAATGTTGCTGAGAATCCAAAGTCCACAGAGTTGCCAAGATGAGCAGATAAAAATCCAGCACATGGTTAAATTGGAATTTCAGATAAACAACAATAAAAAAAATTTAGTATAATCATGTACTATTTAGTATTTGGGCTGGGCACCATGATGCATGCTTATAGTCCCAGCTACTCAGGAGGCTGAGGTGGCAAGATCATTTGAGCCTAGGCATTCGTGAGCAATAGTGTAAGACTATCTAAAAGAAATTTTTTTAATTAAAAATAAATTAATTAAGTTAAAAATTGGTGGGACATACTTAAAGAATTATTTGTTATTTTTCTGAATTCAAACTTAACCGGGCATTGATATTTTATCTGACAATCCAAAATATGAAGATGAATGATTAAGTTGTTTTTTGTACTGTATATTGCATCAATATGTCAGTTGATTAGTAATCGTTCTCCAAGGTGGTTTTTTTTTTTTCTTTAATTGTGGGAGTCTAATAATGGTTGAATCTCATTAATTTCAGCCTCACTGATTTGGAATTTTGATTATTTATGCAACGGCTATGCTAAGTGCATTTTCTTCATGAATTTAGTAAGCCTATTTGTCATTGATAGTGCAAACAAAGCTGAAAGAGAACTATTTATCTCCTTGGGAGGCTACAAATAGTGTAATTACAATGTCATCAGGGGCTATCGCCTGTTAGGCTGTGCTTTTCATTTAATAATTATAGATCGTTCTCAGTCATTCATTAAAATGAGACAAGTCTTTACCAGGCAGTCAGGGACAGTCACCTCAGTTCCTGTGGCTGCTTTGCATCCTGTGTACCCCAGCACCCCACGTGCTCATCCTGCCTGGCTCAGGACACGGTGTGTGCCCACCAGGCCGAACAGTCCAGTTGTGTGTTCTGTCTTCATGTTCTCTAGAGCGCACACAGTGCTTGCTACACAGAAGGCACACTCTAAATGCTCACTGTTTGAGTGAATGAATGAATGAATGAATGAGTGAATATAGTTGCACATACTAAAATAATCAATGAATGAATGTTAGATGCATATATTGAAACAATCATGATGTTTTTGTTTCTAAATTTCTCACATTTTAAATTTTAWAGAYAGTCTGAGCCAGGCACAGTGGCTCATGCCTGTAATCCCAGTGTCAGAAGAATGGTGAGTTCAAAGCCAGCCTCAGCAAAAACGAGGTGCTAAGCAACTCAGTGAGACCCTATCTCTAAAGAAAATACAAAATAGGGCTGGGGATGTGGTTCAGTAGTCAAGTGTCCCTGAGTTCAATCCCTGGTACCAAATAATAATAATAATATTTGAGCTGCTCTTATTCCAAATTTTAATACATAAAGGAAATATTTGGTAGAGTTAGTTTCATTGCATAGCCTTTGATAGGACATAGAAGTCCTATTTCTGAACTTCCAAGGGTGTTTTCTGGGGAGAGAGATAAAGGGGTGCTGGTACATCACCGCAGCACTGCTCTCCCACCTAGTACCAGGGCTCAGGCGTTATCAGAGACATGACATCAGCAGGGTGAGCCATGGTCTTCCTTCTTGCCCCCACTGGCCATGATCATGTGTGTGTGTGTGTGTGTGTGTGTGTGTACAGTCCCATACCACCTAAGAATGGCGCGTCAGGCAGAATGTAGGATAGTGAAACCCATACAGTTATACTGTGGCCTGAGTGTGTTGTAGGCTATACCATCTGGGTTGTATAGGTGCACTGACAATGCTCACACAATAGCAAAATTACGTGCCTTACTGGTCATGGTGGCACATGCCTGTAATTCTAGCAGCTCAGGAGGGCTGAGGCAGGAGGATCCTGAGTTCAAAGTCAGCCTCAGCAATTTAGCGAGGTGCTAAGCAACTCAGTGAGACCCGTTTTTCTAAATAAAATACAAAATGGGGCTGGGGATGTGGCTCAGTGGTCAAGTGCCCAAGTTCAATCCCCAGTACAAATATATATATATATATATAGTTCTCAGGAGCTGTTCTCATGTCGAGTGATGTATGACTTATATCTGTGTGTCACACAAACATACACATATGTCTATACATTTAAATAAATCTCCAGGACCTTCCAAAGAGATACAAGGGGATTACTTGTCTGGATGCCTTTTAAGGCGATCATTGGTGAGTTGCACGTTAGTGATTTGGAGCTTATGTGGGTAGACAGACACACACATATGTAGCCATGCATTCTTAAAAAAAAAAAAAACACATCCTAACCTGCATTCGAACACATCCTAACCTGCATTCGTCTTATTGGCGATCCCTGTAACCATTGGAAAGAGCTTGAGAGCTCCCAGTGAGTTCTGGCCCTCTCTTGAGGGAGATCAACGTGAGTGGTTTACAAGTGGCAAAGGTAATGCCAGAATTTCTCTGTCCCGGTGTGGCTTGGTCTCTAGCCCCAGAAACATATTTAGGTGAGATCTGTCCTCGGTTCCACCTGTGGCTTTCTTCTTCTCTTTCCTCCAGCCGAGAAAGGATCATGGGAATCGAGACTGGGAGTTAAATCTCATCTTCCCTCCTCACCTCACCCACTTTACCCAGGGTTCAGGAGGGTGCCCTGCGCCTGTCGGGCTGGACAGAGCTGGACATCAGGGCCTCGGGCGGGGTCCTGTCCTGGGGAGAGTTGAGTCTGTCTGACTGTCCCTCTTTGTCCTCCCCGTCACAGCACCCTGGAGGGGTACTACGTGGACGACGCCCTGCAGGGCCAGGGCGTCTACACTTACGAGGACGGCGGCGTTCTCCAGGGCACCTACGTGGACGGAGAGCTGAACGGCCCAGCGCAGGAGTACGACACGGATGGACGCCTGATCTTCAAGGGGCAGTACAAAGACAACATTCGCCATGGAGTGTGCTGGATCTACTACCCAGTAAGCCTGCGCCTGCCCCTGTGGGAAGGTGTGGGCAGTAGGACAAGGCTTTGACCTTCAGAAAGAGCTCCGAGCGCGGTGCGCGGTGCGTGCTCTGCTCCAACTGGAGACGCTGCGGACCCGAGCAGCCCAGTAGCTGAAGCCCAGAGTCTGGGAGGCCCGGGCATGCTGTGCGCGGCTGACGTGGGCTTAGTCCTGGGAGTTGGTTATTTTTTAGAGTCATTTTTGGGAAAGAATGATTAACTGGGATGAATCAATTTTATCATACCACTAACCAAGTGAAAGATAATAGATAGATATAGATATATACACACACATTGCTTTTAATTCCTTTTGTCATAGAGAAAGAGTGGTAGGCTATTTCATTGTTGCTATTTATTGTGTTCTCTTTCTCATATGTAAGATTAAATCCAGAGATTTCCTTTTTTTTTTTTTTTGTTACTACACCATTGTTTACTTTCACAATGTCACTACTTTTGAAGTCGCTTTATAGTTTATATTGCTTGAATTAAGGTGATTTAATCTAACTTGCCTGAGTATTTGGTGATAGTAAACTGGAATTTATTAGAGCAAGTAGACATGACAAAACCCATAGTTCAGAATTAATGTTCTAATTTTTGTTCACATTTCAAATATCCCATCTGTTCTTAGTGAGTTTCCAGAAAATATTTCAGAAAATAAACCTTAGGGAATATTTTATTTAATATTTTGTCATATCCAGATGCTTACTCTGAACCCTATCTTCTTACAATTTAAAAATGTTAATAAAAACAAATTATTACATATGTAACKAGAAAAAATAGCTCCCATTAAATCTACTTACACATTATTGTTCTTAAAAAGTTAAACTGAGTACGGAAGTGCATGCCTGTAGTCAGGAGAACTCAGGAAGCTGAGGCAAGAGAACTGCTTGAACCCAGGACATCATAGCAAGACCCATCTGGAAGGAAGGAAGGAACATATACTCTAGGAAAAGAACGTGTAAAACAGCATTTGCTAAGAGTTACAAAAGCGGGGCTGGGGTTGTGGCTCAGTAGTAGCACGCTTGCCTAGCATGTGTGAGGCACTGGGTTCGATTCTCAGCACCATATATAAACAAATAAATGAGTAAAAGTCCATCAATAACTAATAAAAAATGTTTAAAAATTACGAAAGCATTTACATATCCTCGTGGTAGGATCCATGACTGATGATAAGTCATTTCAGTTACCACCTAGAAAAAGGCAAGTGGGACAGGAAGAGGGGAGGCACTTACCACCTTAAGGAGACTGAGATTGGGCTTCCTGAGGCTCCAGGTGAGCACCTGGCTGCCCACTGCTGGGGAGGTGCTGAAATGACAGTGAACCTTGATGTCACAGAAGTTAAGTGGAACTCTGTAGGCAGAGAGATGCAAAATAGAGATCCCCAGGCTCTCCCACTGCCTGTCATTTAACTTGTGAATAGGATCAACTTACAATCGCTGTGAGATCAAAGATGCTCTAAGCTGGGGGACTGTGTTCACCTCTCTCAGTGTTGTTGCACTTTGAAAACTAAAAATACAGCTACATTTTAATAAGTAGCCTTAATTATTATCTTATTAAATGCCAAGAGAAGCTGCCTTTGGAAGGAAGGGCTAATGAGTTCTTAGCTTTCAGAAGTGGTTGATAATGCCTGTTTTAAGTGTGGTATCTGTGGGCAGTTGAGGGGGTGGCTCACACTCCTCTGCTGTCTGGAGTCTGAAACAGTTAGGAAATAGACACAGGTGTCAGAGGTCAAGTTGTCAGTTTTTATTATGGCAGGGTTGGGTTGGAGGTGTGGTGTGGGCCCATGGCCTTCTACTCCTTCCCCTGGGAACTGAGCAGATGGGCCAGCTCTGGACAGTGGCTAGAAGGCTGCATGTTTGCCCAGGGGTTGTGGGCCTGCCTCAAGGAGCTTCCAATGGAAAGGGGAAATAAGGCAGCAGATAAGGGCCTGGGAAAGAAAAAAAAAGGCAGATGCATGAAAGAAGACTTTATCTTGATACTCCCCACCCAAAGAAAAAATGGGTGTTGGTGTCAGACCTGCCCTCTAGCCGGCTACATCGCTTGAATGACTCCTCGCTCCACCAGGGGGAGCCAGCGAGCAGAGGCCAGAATCCACAGCTTCCTACCCAGCACCCCCCAGAGAGCAGACAAGGATATTTCTGTGCGAAGGAATCAAAACAGGAAAAGAAGAATTTATTCTCCCCGCAGTGCTTATAGGCTCACTCTAAGAAGAGTTCATTTCTTTCAAGAAATTCCCTCAAACTGTAAAACAAAGTTCTTGATTAAAAACGCATAACTCTTTGGACATTATTTGGAATATTATCCCAGCTACTTGGGTGACTAAGGATGGCAAGCTCAAGGCCAGCCTGTGAATAGGATCAACTTATAATTGAGCAATTTAGCAAGACCAGGTCTCAAATTAAAATAAATAAAAAGAAAAGGGCTGGGAGGAGCTCAGCAGTAGAGTGCCTGTGAGCTCAATCTCTAGTATCCAAAAATAATAAAATAAAATAAAAATGCATAACTCCTTTGGGAAATAAAAGAATTTCTATTTTATCATTCTAGAGAAATACATTCACTTCTTCCAAAACCAGAAGTTTAAAGCATTTAAGGGAAAAGGTATGAGGAGTAGGAAGAAAGACTTCTATTTTAGATTACTAGTAATGGTAGTGGTTTATGTTCGGGCATGTCATAAGCCCAGGCTCAGTAATCATCACTGACAGCCTGAAGGCATTATGCACAAAGTATTGTCCTCATTTATGCCTAGTAAGAATTAATTTGGGGAGGAGGAAGAGCAATAAATAGAGTACTAGTGCACTTTCTACCTATGAAAAAATGCTTCCAAGTATTTTTCCTCTTATGGGAGCACTGAGMTTCATTTTAATTTATAAACTTTTTCCCACCAAAGAACAATCAGACTGTGGCAAGGCATAGAAATCAAATATACCATGTAATTGATTTCTGTTGTTTCTCAATAAGCAGCAAGTCACCCACATCACTGACTTTGAGTAGCTATTTCTAGATCCTTGAACCAGGGAAAATAACCAAGCTTTTAGCAATGTTATGGCATTTACATTATATCAAACATGTAAAGATCTTAGATTTCAAAGTTATACTATAAGGACCTTCAGGGTAGGGCGTGAGGGGAAGGAACTGGATTAAATTATGCATTGTTTCTTGGACCCCTAGGTCAATTAAAACAGTATTTATGGGTTACCTACTATGTCCGTGGAATCTAATAGGATACAGAATTCTATCATAGCCTCTATGCTAAAGTACACAGTGATCCTTAGGAATGAAGCAAAACCGGCTCCTCTTACTGAAGGAGGCAAAAGGAAGCAGTAAATAGAGTGTGAAGTGATTGAGAGAGAATTGAGTTATCTGATTTCACTTTGCCTTTGGAGTTAAGGTTAGGGGTAATGGTTTGGGAGGCTAAGGCAGGAGGATCACGAGTTTAAAGCCAGCTTCAGGAATTTAGCGAGACCCTAAACAACTTAGCCAGCCCCCGTCTCTAAATAAATTGCAAAAAGGACTGGAGATGTGGCTCAGTGSTTAAGCGTTCCTGGGTTCAATTCCTGGTACCAGAAAAAAATATACCATGTAATTGATAATGAAAAAAAAGATAATGATATAGGATTCTCAGAAAGGCAGTGTCCGGAAGTCCTTTTGTTTCTCTCTTAGAAAATGCAGACAACTCTATATTTACCAATGCACACCAAATTAATTCTTAGATACATTTAAACCAAAGATTTTCTTAACAGACTAGAAATCTAAAAATCTAACATTAAGTAGATCATAGAAATGGCGAGTAGGATTGCCTTGATATTAGCCAGAGGTAATGTTACATTGTCTTTAAATGTCTGCAACTAATGTTCCAAATGTAACATGTTTGTTTCTTAAATAACAAACCAAGATAGAGAATTTGCAGGGAGTCTGGGGATACAAAGTGTAACTCGGTTCTCACCCTTTACCAGCCTTTGTGTATGTAATATCACCGCAGTGTTTTTGTAAGGGTCTGGAAAGTTATATGCACACGGGGACATTAACTTGAGGAGCTATGTTTCATGTTCTCACTCTTGCTACTAATAGTGTAGAATGGACATTTCTTGAACTCGTGGCCTATAGATAAATACTATATATAATATTTTCTGGGTTTTGGTTTCTCCCATCAGGACGGAGGCAGCCTTGTAGGGGATGTCAACGAAGATGGAGAGATGACTGGAGAGAAGATAGCCTATGTGTACCCTGACGAGAGGACCGCGCTTTATGGGAAATTCATTGATGGAGAGATGATCGAAGGAAAACTGGCCACGCTCATGGCCACTGAAGAAGGGAAGCCTCACTTTGAACTGATGTCTGGAAGTAAGTTGAACACACTTCATATGGGTGATAGGCCGAGAGAAGTCTCTCGACCTGAGTAGCACACTGTAATGGTGCCTTAGTCAAGTTTGCTGCAGAACAGACACTTCACCAACCTGATGGTTTACAGCAGCAGATGTAGGTCTGCTGACCAACTGTGCTACAGCTGGGCGAGGCTGGGTCGGAGGATTCTGTTCAGGTTTGATTTGCTTTATGCTTTTTTTTTTTTTTTTTTTTTTTGAGATAGGATCTCACTAAGTTATTTAGACTGGCCTCAAACTTGGCAGTCTGCCTGCCTCTACCTCCCGAGTCACTGGGATTGCAGGYATGTKCCACTGTGTGTCTTAATGATGGGACCTGGGCTGAAGGGACAATGGCAACTTTGAGCAAGGTTTTTCTCACAGTGGATCATAACATGTCACAACAGAAGCAGATCCCAGTGATGTTCCCTAAAGCCTCACCTTGGAACTGACAGAGTGACCAGTTTTCTCTGGCCAAAACAAGTTACACRGCTAAGCCAGATACAAGAAAAACAGAAATTACATCATACACTTTAGTGGGAGTCACTGAAAAGTCACATGACAAGAAGCACAGATAGATGAGTCTATAATACAGTGCAGGAGCTAAGAAATGACAGTAGTAATCCAATCAATGTCAAATGACTACATTTCCAAAGCACAGAACCATGATTTAATGATATTAAAAAGAACCAGATCAGATGGACCTCCGAACCTGTACATACTGGAAGGCTGATTCAACTTGAGCGCTAACTGGAAAAGACAAATGCATAGTGACATTCCCCTGCCCTCTCCAGAACCCAGCATCTTGCATGGAGCACACACTCARTATATCTGTGAACCCAAGAGAATCCATATGAGAAAAAATGGATTTTCTTTGCCTGTGCAATATGCCACACTAAAATATTTTTTCGGATATAAAATTATTTATTGTAGAAAATTGGGAAACAYGAAGAAAAAATTCAATTTAGCATTTTGGGTGGCACAGGCTAAGAACGTTGTTTGAATTAGTCTGATGCCTTGGAAACTATAAATGTCTGTATCTCTGGTCCAGGTTAGGTTTGAAGRAGAAAAAATTAAAAAGGTAATAAACCTATGCCTTAGTAGGCCCAAATAATACTTAGCTATTTGGGATCTGCAGGAGAATCTGCAAAGGAAAGTTCTCCAAAAATAGAAAATCTCACATTTACATGTAAGTCCAACTTGGGTTGCTTTAAATGTCTCCATTTTTATTTTTTAAGTTAAATTTCGAAGCAGTCTAAATGCAATGTGAGGTTCTGGATTGGATCCTAGAACAAAAAAAGCACATTAGTGAAAAACTGGTAGAATCTGAATAAAGTCTGGAGTTTGGTTCCTAGTAATGTATCTATGTTGGTTTCCTAATTTTGACAAATGTACCCTGAAATGTAAGAAGTTAACATTAGGAGAGACAGTGGAAGCTCTCTGTGCTATCTTTGCAACTTTTCTGTATAATTAAAACTATTCCAAGRTGAACAGTTTCTTTTTAAAAAGGGAAGCAGTCATCTTTGAGCTACAAATTCTAGTATTTCAGCTCTTGATATGTTCTGAAAAAAAGATAATGTTATAATGTTTTGAAACCAGGAGACCTGGGGCAGGGGAGAATCCCAACTGGCGATCCAATATTTTCAATTTTTATCTTTTGGGGTGCTGGAGTTCAAACCCAGTGCCTTGCACCTGCCAGGCAGCCCGTCTTCCCCTGGAGCTACCTCCCCAGCCCAGTGATGCAAAGTTTRACACTTCAGAAATGACAACATTGTTGATGCCAAGAGTCACCTGGTTTGAAGGGCTGGGGTTGTGGCGCMTCAGTATAGTACTCGCCTAGCACATGCAAGGCACTGGGTTCGATCCTCAGCACCACATAATAAAAATAAATAAAATAAAGGTATTGTGTCCAACTACAACTAAAAAATATGTATATATATGAAAAAAGAGTCACCTGTTTGAGTCTCAATTTAACATCCACCATACTGTGGTCCTGAGCAAGTTATTTATCTTTCAGAACCTGTTTCTTCACTTTGAATATGGGTGTTAGCACCTACTATAAAACACCATAATGCAAGTTACTGTTGATCTTATGTTGTTCTTGGTATGAATAAAAAACTGATTTTTGAGAGTGATAATTGTCAAGAGGATGATTGTTTTTCTTATACTTACTTGTTACAAATAGCAAACACCCTTCTCGAATCCATTTAGGTTAAAAGAGAAAGGGGCACATTCGTGGGCAAGATTCTGGCGGGCCTCTGGCATTTTAAGGAAATGGTCTTCAAAAGGGTCAGGAAACAGCTCTGTGGGAAAGCGCTAAACTGAAGAGCGTCAGGGACCATGGTTGGTTGTCCTGGGCACCTCTCAGGCACCCAAGATCTAGTCCTGCCACGTTCCCATGGCTCTCCTCCAGCCCTCCTGTTAGTTGGCATTGTTGCTGACTAACCAATGAAGTAGGCGTTCCAGGGTCATGTGACCATCTGCTCCATAAAGTTCTCCCCCACCTGCCACCTCACTGGCTTCCTGTCCCACCCCCCCACCCCCCCTTTCTCTTTGGTGCTTTTGTGACCACAGACTGCTTCTGGTTCTCCACTGGCTTTGGGCTGATTTTCTCCTCCTGCCTCTGGCTGGACTTTCTTCTCACTCTTCAGCCTTCCCTGAGACTCCCTCCCCTGGCCAGGCCCCAGGCTCTCTGGCTCACTGGTGTAATCAGTGCTTGCTGAGTGCGTGATGTGTTCTAATCCGCAGTCACAGTGAAAACTAGGGAGGAAAGGAGAAGGAAAAGGGAGTGTTGTGCTTGCCTGGAGTCCTGTGTGTCCCAGGGAGTGGAAGAAGCTGTTCTGCAGCCTGGAATACAGGACAGATGTAACCCATTTGTATCGGCAGCATCCCTGAGGTGTTGTGCTACATGTAGCTGGCACGCAGGGTACACTGGGGTTGAAAGTTTTAGTCTAAGGAAGGAGATGGAAATTTATAGAATTTTCACACAAATGTTTGATTTAGGGCTGGGACTTCGCTCAGTGGTAGAGTACTTGCTTAGCATATGTGAGGCTCTGGTTGGACTCCACACACACACACACACACACACACACACAAGGTTGGTTTAAAAAAAATCCGTGTTTTTTTTTTTTCCTCTTTTGAACTAAATGCCTTTCATGGATTGTCTGCTGGTTCGTTTCTTACTGATTTACTCTCAGATCTATTTCTCATCCTTTCTCACCTGCTTCTGTTGCAAAGGGATTCTGCATTTCCTAGGCTTTTCTGTTATCAGTCTTCTGTCTGGGTTTGGCCACAGGGAGGCTACTGGCCCCCTGGCAGACAGGGAAGGGGTTTGGGGAAGCTTCCTCTCTGTGGAGCAGCATCTGCAGCAGCAGCCTAGCCATCGCCTCCTGATTCCATCTCCCACCAGGGAAGTCCACCATAACTCTGGCCACCCCAGCCCTAGAGCCCCAGGTGCACCACGTCCCCTTAGACCCCTTAACTTAGAGTGGAGGCTTCCTTTTCCTGTCTCCTCCCTACTCCATCTTGGCTTCTCAGTTCTCCTGTCTCCAGTATAACTAATACCTGAGTTAAATTCTCTCTTTTTGAAATACTTAAATGGCCTATTTCTTACTTAGTCTTGGACCGATTTGGGTTGTTTTCTAACTTTTAATTTGAGACATTAATTTGGGCTTGGGTTGTACAAAAAAAATAGAGGACCTGGTAGCCATTGGTGACCACCGCAGAACTGCCTAATGGATTATTAGTGATGTCTCAATGCCTAAAATAATTTACTTTGCAGCAGTAAGCCCTCCGGTTCTAAATTTTGTTTCTTTACTTATTAGTCTTTAGAACATCATCTGTCTCCATTATGCTTGGTGAGAATTCTCTGAGGCTTATTCTTTGCAGAGATTTCATTGGTAATTCTCGAATGGTTGCACATCTTAGTTTCTGGAAAAAATTACTGATTGGGTTCTGAACCACCTCCTCAGAAATAAGATGACTTTGTTAATGCTTTATCAAAAGCAGTGAGTGCAGTCCTCCTGAATTCTGGAGACTGAATGTTTATTCTTAGTGAAAGACCCAACTCCCAGGGCTCGGTTGTTAGATTTTACAGACTGTCTGCTATGAAGAAAACCACAACAAAATTTTTAACCACTATTCAATTTGATCTGACCAGATATCTGAAAATTCCACAACAAAGCATTTTTTTATTTAAAAAATAAAACAATTATTAAGTAGCCAAGTATCTTTTAAATTGTTTGAATGAAGAAAATTCTCTTGAATCCCTATCGAAAAATAGGGATTTTTAAGATACACTTTTAATGGCTGTTCATTAAGACTTGAAAATACAACTGAAGAATAAATCTATTTGAATGGAAAAATTGCATTCGAATAGGTATAACCAGAATAATCTCTGTGGTTGTTTAGCTCTTTCTTGTCCCTTGGATAGAAGTGAATGTTGTAAATGCTCTTCCCCAACCCTCTACCTGCACTGACGGTTGGCTTGTTTGTTTTTGCTTTTTAGGCTCCGTGTACCACTTTGATAAGTCGACTTCATCTTGCATTTCAACCAATGCTCTCCTTCCAGATCCGTATGAATCGGACAGGTAACATTTTCCTTGTGGGTTTTTTTTTTTTCCTTTCCTTATGGTTGTACACAAAGTATATCACACCATTCATGTCTTCATACATGTACTTATGGTAATGATGTCCATCTCATTCTACTGTCTTTCCTACCCCCACGCCCCTCCCTTCTCCTCCCACCCCTCTGCCCCATCTAGAGTTCATCTATTCCTCCCATGCTCCCCCTCCCTACCCCACTATGAGTCAGCCTCCTTATATCAGAGAAAACATTTGGCATTTGGTTTGGGGGGATTGGCTAACTTCACTTAGCATTATCTTCTCCAACTCCATCCATTTACCTTAAAATGCCATGATTCTATTCTCTTTTATTGCCGAGTAACATTCCATTGTGTATATATGCCACATTTTTTAAATCCATTCATCTACTGAAGGGCATCTAGGTTGGCTCCACAGTTTAGCTGTTCTGAATTGTGCTGCTATAATCATCGATGTGGCTGTGTCCCTGTAGTATTCTGTTTTTAAGTCCTTTGGGTATAGACCAAGGAGAGGGATCACTGGGTCAAATGGTGGTTCCATTCCCAGTTTTCCAATACTGCTTTCCATATTGGCTACACCAACTTGCCATCCCACCAGCATTGTATGAGTGTGTCTTTTTCCCCACATCCTCGCCAGCACTTATTGTTGTTTGTCTTCATAATAGCTGCCATTCTGACTGGAGTGAGATGAAATCTTAGAGTGGTTTTCATTTGCATTTCTCTAATTGCTAGTGATGATGAACACCTTTGCATGTATTTACTGATTGATTGTATGTCATCTTCTGAGAAGTGTCTGTTCACATCCTTTGACCATTTATTGATTGGATTATTTGTTTTCTTGGTGTTTAGCTTTTTGAGTTCTTTTCTATATCCTAGAGATTAGTGCTCTATCTGATGTGTGAGGGGTAAAAATTTGCTCCCAAGATGTAGGCTGTCTATTCACCTCACTGATTGTTTCTTTTGCTGAGAAGAAACTTTTTAGTTTAAATCCATCCCATTTATTGATTTTTTTATTTTCATTCTTGCTCTATAGGAGTCTTATTAAAGAAGTTGGGGCCTAATCCAACATGATGGAGATTAGGGCCTACTTTTTCTTCTATTAGACGCAGGGTTTCTGATTTAATTCCTAGGCCCTTGATCCACATTGAGTTGAGTTTTGTGAGAGATGGTGAGAGATACGGGCTTAATTTCATTTTGTTGCATATGGATTTCCAATTTTTTTCAACACCATTTATTGAAGAGGCTGTCTTCTCTCCAATGTATGTTTTTGGTGCCTTTGTCTAATGTAAGATAATTGTAATTTTGTGGGTTAGTCTCTGTGTCCTCTATTCTGTACCATTGGTTTACCAGTCTATTTTGGTGCCAGTACCATACTGTTTTTGTTACAATTGCTCTGCAGTATAGATTAAAGTGTAGTATAGTGATGCCTGCTTCACTCTTCTTGCTTAAGATTGCTTTAGCTATTCTGAGATTCTTATTTTTCCAGATGAATTTCATGACTGCTTTTTCTATGAGGAATACCATTGGGATTTTGATTGGAATTGCATTAAATCTGTATGGTGCTGCAATTCCTTGTGGTTTTAATTGTACTGTTTATGTAGAGCTAAAAATCCTAGTGGTGGACCAGGTGCTATGGTGCATGCCTATAATCCCAGTGACTCAGGAGGCTGAGGCAGGAGGATTTTGAGTTTAAAGCAAGCCTCAGCAACTTAGAGGGGCCTTAGCAACTCAGTGAGACCCTGTCTATAAATTTAAAAATATAAAAAAGGCTGGAGATGTGGGTCAGTGGTTAAGCGCCCCTGTGTTCAGTCCTTGGTGCAAAAAAATCCTAGTGATGGGAATTCACATGCCTTTCACGCTCTGCTGAAGCTGGGCTCCTTCTGTCTGTCAAAGCCCCTCATGAAAGTGTCCCTTGTCCTTTGCAAACCTTCCGAATAAATGTTTACATATTCTGAGGATGAGTGTTTTTATTCTCATACAGAACCTCTCCCTAGAGAGGGTTTTTACACTTATCAAGCACAGAGCAGGGCTCCCATGTTTCCTGGCATGGAAGCTCCAAGTGAACAGAGCCATAGGCCAGGTGGCCCTGCCCTGCCCAAGGGCCCCCTTTCTTAGAGCTCTGGTGGCAAGGTTTGTGCTGCACACTCCTGCGGTCCTCCACGGGAGCATTTCACGTTCTTTAAAGCCCTAGCCTTCACCCCCAGAACGTTCCTTTTCTTAGCCCAGCTGAAGGTCCATAGCGCAAGGCAATTTATTCAATCATCAAGGAGAGTTTGGAAACCGAACATATAAAGCATAAAAACATTCCAGCTTGTAAATGACAAGTCTCGGGTTCTACAAGCTCACTCCAAGTGTCAAGTTCTGTTCCACTTCACATGTTATCCTTGAGGAGGTGCACTGTACCCTCCATTCTCGGGTGGCTTTTGCTGATACCCTGCTTGGGATCCTTATTCCCTAGCAGCTGGTGTTTCTGAGCAAGGACACCTCGGAGGTTGGTTTCCTCTCTGCCTCGCTCTGATTCAGTCTCTGTCCCCTGACTTAGCTGACAGGGCTGACCCTGCAATGTCACAAGCAATGAATGGCCTCTTTTTGACAAAAGGCTCTGGCCCAGTTACAAAGAAGACAGTTGTGTCTCTGTTGGCCCTAAAACAACACAGCACCGTAACTGTGTATATCAGTCTTATTATTGTTGGAGTGATTCTTCACGACACCCTCAAAACAATGAGCAGTTTTCAAAAGCAAACATTTTATGTGACATGGTTCTGCAGGTTGGCTGAGGTTCAGCCCCTTTGGACCCAGATCAACTAGTTCAGCTGGACTAGGCTGGACTCCAGGCTTCAAGTTGGGTTCAGGTCTGTTTCGTGCATCTTCATTCCAAGACTTGGAGTATAGGAGTACAGCCCCCGGGGCATGTTCTTCTCATGGAAATGCTGGAGGAGGCTGGCAGAACTCTTCCAGGGCTCTTCCACCTGACACCTAGCATGCAGTCGCTTCTGTCCATTCTGCTAACAAAGCAGAATATAGCCAAGTACTAAGTCAGCAGGGCGGACATGTGTGATCCACCACTGGGGAGGCCCCTCGAGGTCACCTGGCAAAGTGGCAGGATATATACTCCTATCACAGAGTAGAATTGGAAGCTGTTATTCAGTCCATGAAATAAACACAAATTCCATGTAACAAAAATTACAAATGACCAATCCCTGCGGCATCATTCCATCATGGTGTCCAAAGAACTGAAAGAGTTGTTGATGGAACATATATTCTGTTTTAAAAATTCAAATCCAACTGGACGTAATGGTGCACACTGGTAATCCCAGTGACTCAGAAGGCTGAGGCAGGAGGACCACAAATTTGAAGCCAGCCTCGGCAACTTAGTGAGATCCTATCTCAAAACATCAATAAAAAGCGGGAAGGGGTTGGGGTTGTAAATCAGTGGTAGAGTGCTTGCCTAGCATGTGGGAGGTACTGGTTCAGTCCTCAGCACCACATAAAAACAAATAAACAAAATAAAGGCATTGTGGGGGGAAAAAAATGGTAGGGATATAGCTCCATAGTAGAGGACCCTGGAGTTTCATTCCCAGTAACTAACACACACACACACACACACACAGAGTTCTATGGCAGAATGCTGTCTTTGCTTCTTATAAACCAGTGATTGGCAACCTGTTTCTACAAAAGGCCACATAGTAAATATTTAGGCTTTGAAGGCCGGTGAGCTTCATTGCAAGTACTCAGCTCTGCCTTAGTAGAGCTACAGCAGTCAGGAAGATACCAAGCCTATACAGGTGGCTGTGCTCCAATAAAACTTTATTTACAAAAATGAGCAGCAGCCAGATTTGATCCTTGGGCTTTAGTTAGCCAGTGTCTGGACAAACCACTTTGTTGGGAAGTACTTGTTGGAGGGCTGGGGATATGGATCAGTTGGTAGATAGAGTGCTTGTCTCAAAAGCACAAGGCCCCGGATTCAATCCCCAGCAACACAAAAAAGAGGAGGGAAGTAATTATTCCTATTAACTGTCACTCCTCCATGTAGAAGATTCATCTTGGGGTTTAACTGAAACAGTCTTCCCCTCCTGACTGTTGAACCATGATGCAAAGAAAAGATCACCAACTCCAATTTTAAATCAAATTAAAGCAAGCTTATATTGTTTGCACAAATAAAGCTGGCCAGGACTGTCTCTCCCTAAGCTGGGCTAGAGATCAGCCCCCCAGCTCTCCAGGTTAATGATCTACATGGCATGATATTTCAAGGTAGGGAGTAAATTCAGGTCCCAACATCAGAATTTATGATGCGCTCTTGAGGTTTCAGAGAGGATCGTTATCTGGTCGGGGGGAGCCAGGATTTATGAGGTGCCACTAAGGTTTTAGAGAGGGTTGTTATCTGGTCAAGAAGAGCCAGACATGGGTGAGTTCAGAGCATGGGCAGGAATTCCAGACAAGTTTAGAAATCTCAGTAATTTATAGTAAAACAAAAATTAACTTTTCATGACTTTGTGATGAGATGGCTCCCAATCTTAAGATGGAATTAGGCTGGGTTCATCACTGACATTGACAAACTTGGGTATAGTTTTAACTAACTTTGGAGACTGATCGACTTGTCCAATCAGACTCAAAATTGTCATTCACCATCCACCAAAAGAAAATCGCTGCTATAGCAAGTCCTGGGTAGCTTTATCCTGCTATTTCTTCCTTTTCTGATGTTAAAATGTTGTGGTTTAACATTTTCTTCCTTCTTTTCTTCTTTGTTTGGTTATTAGGAACTGATATTTTGGATCCAGTAGCCATATTGATAATTTGGTAGTTGACGTAAAGAGTGACATATCACATTTTTAAAGTCATTATTTTTTCCCCCATGTAGGGTTTATGTTGCTGAGTCTCTCATTTCCAGTGCCGGAGAAGGACTATTTTCCAAGGTAGCAGTGGGACCGAATACTGTTATGTCTTTTTATAATGGAGTCCGAATCACACACCAAGAGGTGAGTGGGGAGAGGTGACAAGCTGTGAGACTGGTTAAAGCGTTTGTTTCAAACAGGGTCCCTTTAAAGTTCCACAGCTAATTCATAGAAAGGGGGACAGTGCTATCCCTGAGACAGTAACTGCTTTGTACAGGACACACCCAATGTCTGGAAAATTGAGATCCAGTCAGATTCTGTCAGTAATGGATTCATGACCTTGGGCAGGGTGCCCTCTAGGAAAACCCCTTCTCCTGGTAGTGCAAAAGCTATACGCAGCCTGTGTCTTGCTGGGAAGAGTTCGAGGTGCTGATAGAATGTGTCAGTTGAATCACCTCTTCCCTTTGAGACACAAACTTTGACATATTGGACGTATGTTCTGGGTTTTTTTTTTTTCTTTGTTTTGTTTTGGTTTTTTTCTTCACTTCTCAGCTAACCTCTTAGAGTTTGCTTAAGGGCAAAATTTGAAGCCTTCTGCCCCGTGAGTGACCTCCATCCCTGATTCAGTTTCACTGTGTGGGACTGAAGCTTACCGCGAATGTTTCACATTCCTATCTCCACTTTTTCACTCATCCCTGCCAAACCATAAAGAACAAAAAACCATGAGATATCACACATGCAGAGCAGGTGCACCAGCCAAGGGACAGTGCACTCCAACGCAGCAGGGTTCCTGTGACCTCTGAAGGCACTCCAGAAAGCCCAAGAAGTTCAGCATATGAACAGTGGCTTCAGGAAAATGATACATTACAGGTTGAGGGTTCCTTATCTGAAATGTTTGGGACCATAAATGTCTGGGGTTTGGGATTTTCTCCGATTTTGGAATATTTGCATATACATGATGAGATCTCTTGGGGACGGGACCCAGGGCCTCGCACCTGCTAAGCAAGTGCTCTACCACTGAGCTGTATCACCACCCACTTCTCCCAGGGAAAGGAGGTGGGGTGGGAATGCATCAGACATAACTAGCCTATGTTCATACATGAACATCCATTTGATGTTCCTATTTTATTTATTTATTCATATATTTATTTGCCTCATCTTCATCTACTCCCTACTCCCCAGCCCCCAGAACTGGGAGATGAACGCAGGGCACTTAACCACTGAACCACATCCCCAGCCCCTTTTTTTATTTTTTATTTAGAGACAGGATCTCGCTGAATGGCTTAAGGGCTTGCTAGGTTGCTTGAGGCTGGCTTTGAAGTCGTGATCCTCCTGCTTCGGCCTCTTGAATTGCTGGGATTATAGGCTTGCACCACCACCTCAGCTTTCATCTACTTTTAATTCAAGTTATCTAGTTAGATTTTTGTGTGTCTTTACAAGGGAGGGAACTCAATTTTTCTATATAAAAATGAGGGGGGGGAAATCAATGAAAAGTAAATTGAGTTGTCTGCTTGCACCCTCCATGTGTGGAGAGATGTCTTGGGTTTTGTGTTTGTTTTTCCACATCTATAATACTCAAATTATGAAGTTTAAGGAGAAATGAGTTAATATCTCTGGCATCTTATGAGCTTTGAGAGATAGGCACCCTCGAATGCTCACTGTTTTGTTCCCTGCAGGTCGACAGCAGGGACTGGGCCCTTAATGGAAACACCCTGTCCCTCGACGAGGACACAGTCATTGATGTGCCTGAACCCTACAACCACGTATCCAAGTACTGTGCCTCCTTGGGACACAAGGCGAACCACTCCTTCACTCCAAACTGCATCTACGATATGTAAGTGGGGCCCTGAGCTGCTGGATGCATCTATGCCTGGGGCCCTGGGACTGAGGAGCACCCTTGGGAAGTGTCCCTACATCTCAGATAAAAGATGCCCCATCAGAATAACCAAAGGGCCTCTGCCACAGGCCTGTGTTATGACTCGAAACTCAAAATCTGAACATCCCCATTAGATTAGACAAAGGGGGATGAAGGGAAGGGAGGGGATGGGAATGGCAAAGACAGCAGAATGCATCAGACATAACTTTTCTATGTTCCTATATGAATGCACCACCAGTGTAACTCCACATCATGTACAATTACAAGAATGGGAAGTCACACTCCATGTACGTATACTATGTCAAAATGCATTCTACTGTGATTTGTATCTAAAAAGAACAAACAAACAAAAATCCGGACATCCCCACCCTGTGGCCTTGGCAAGCCAAGAGATAGACAAGTGCTTCCACAGTAGGACATGCCATAGGAAGAGTGTACTTAGCGGTTGTTGTTTTACTACTGCCCTTTTGTCCTTCAGTTTTCTCACTTGGGGCTGGGGGGTGTCGCTCAGTGATGGAGCACCTGCCTAACATGCATAAGGCCCTGGGTTTGAGCCCCAGCAATGCAAAAAAACACAAAGGATAAAATAAAAAATTTAGGATTATCTGAAATTACTCTGTACAATGGAGAAAGTTAGGAAACCCTTTTTATGATGTGAAAGGAAGAGAGAAATAAAATCCTAGGCCAAGGGCATGAAGTTTCATAGAAGAGCACCATAAAATCAGAGCCCCAATTATCTGATAATAAAAAGGCATGAAGTACTGACACCTGCCACAGTGTGATGAGAGTTAGCTGCATTACGCCGAATGGGAGAATCAGGTCACCAAGGCCACATATTGGGTGATTCCATTTGTATGAAATGTCCAAAGGGGGAAATCCATGGAGACAGAAAGTAGACTAGTGGCTGCCTGGGGCTGGGAGGTCACCTAAGGAGTGACTGCTAATGGGAGTGGGGTGTCATTTGAGGGCAATTAAATTTCCAAAATCAGATGATGGTGATCGATTCACAACTTTGTGAATATTTAAATACCGCAGAATTGACTACTTTAAAAGGGTGAATCTTATGTGCGTGAATTATATATTAACAAAGCTGTATTTTAAAAAGTCAAATACCCTGTCCCCCTTGGTGTTCAAGCCTGCCCTTCCATCTGCTCGTTGACTCTCTTCTTGGAAACCTCCGTTGGTGCGGAGCTTACTGTTATCCACAAAGGCAATTGAAAGAGACGGCATGAAATTTGCCTTTGGGTTCTGAGGACTAGCAGGTTTCTTTTATTGAGCCTAAATGGGTTTTCCTATAATATTCAGCCCTCCGTCCTAATTGTCTCTTTCCTGTGGAATCTGTCACTCTCTCTTCTACATGATAGCGCTGCAAATATTTTAGCAGCTTTCACAAGCCCCCAAATGTCTTCTTCCCAAAGCCAAGCATCTCTGACTGTTCTCTGAAGGATACAGCTGGGCTTCTCTGTTGCCTCCTGAGCTTGGCCTGAGCCTGCCAGCTTTTCCTGGGAGCCAGTGAGCTGCACCTGACCTTTTCTGCTTCATTATAACTGCAGCTCCTCAGGTCACCCAGGTTATTAGCATAAGCAAGAGCAGATCGTAGGCAGTTCATGTGCAGGGAAATTGCCAAGAGTTGAAGGTTCCTCAGGAATGTCTCCTCTTGCATCCCTGAGATGGCTTAAAAAATCATTCTGGCAGTAATCTGCTCTCTTTGGCAGCCAATAACAAGCACTGGAGCTACAACTTCTGTTCAAAGAGCAACAGAAATGGCAAAGGACATGTGTCAAGTGAAATGAAACTGACACTGTTATTAACAGCAAGGCTTTCATAGCCAGTGCATGAGCCAAAGCATCAACCCAAGCTGCACACAGTGAAACAACAAGGCCCCTAAAGCATGGGAACTAACCATCATAAATGCCACTGAGACCACTCCTTTAAAACAAACTAGCTCTATGATTCTACTGCAAGGACATGATTTTTCACACCAGAAGGAAGAGAGCACAGGAGACAAGAGAAAGTTCTATTGGTGCAAATGCACAAATGCAAGTCTCTTTACTTGGAAGGGCTTTTTTTTTTTTTTTTTAATACTGAGGATGGAATTCAGGGCTTCATACCTGTTAGGCAAACTCTCCCCACTGAGCCACATCCCCAACCCATTCTGCAAGTTTTGCTTTGGTTGTTGGTTGGTTGATTGTTTTGCAAACTCAGTGTGATCAAACTTTAGTTATTTGGGGTCAGGGGAGGACTACTTGAATACTAATCAAATGTGACATTCAGATTGCAATGCATGGCATTGATTTATTTCCCAACACTGGTATTGTTACATACCCTTTATATATTTAATATAAGTAAAACAACACTTTCCTAAGCTGTTTTAAATGTAACCAGGCACAAAATGTCAAATGGACACAGACAAGATCTTTCCTAGCTGTAAATGTAGGTAACATGTGGACAGGGGTCAAACTGCTTAGCACAGAGGTTTGGGTTGATGGCCAATCATGCAGCTGAAAATGGTCAGTAACTACTCTGGGTACTTTTTTTTTTTTTTTTTTTTTTTGGTGGTGGTGGTGCTGGGGATCACACCCAGGGGCTCACACAAGCTAAGCATATACTTTATCACTGAGCCACACCCCAATCCTCACTCTGGGTGCTTTTCATGCATTGTCTCATTTGATCAGCCCAGGAATTCAAGAGCCCACTTGTATTACTTTCCAGATTTCAGACCAGGAAACGCAGATCAGGAAGGCCCAGGGGTTAGGAATGCCCTCTCCAAGGATCAACACTGAAATAAGTTCCTTCTTTTCAATCTGCCCATTATCTACTCTGAAAACATGATGATGAGCAGGAGAATGGAAATACAAGAGGATCATAGAAACCCTGTAGGCCCGGAAAAGGTAACCCTGGATTTTTTCAGTGGGTCAGAAGATTAATCAGAGCTCTAGTTCAGGAGTGCAGTTTTTTCCTTCATCCTGAAAGAACATGATGGAAATTATGATGAACATTTTAATTTACAAAGTTGTGATTTTTTAACAAGGAATTCCTCAATCCCTGGTGCAGGCATCTCCTTTGTGATGGACACAATCTGATACTACTGTGTGCTTACATGCTTACACATGCTCATACACACATGCACATTCACATACAAGTTCTCACATAGGCATGCTCACACACACACACACACACACAGTAACTAATATTAGTCAAGTCCTCTATTGTACCAGGATTTGTGTGGGGTGCTTTCTATGTGTGACCCCATTTTGTCACCATGATGACCCCATAGGGTAAGTCTTACTAGTATCATTATGATTTTATAGATTAAGAAAGCAGGATTCAGAAATACAAGGTGGAGGGGCTGGGGGTATAGCTCAGTTGATAGAGTGCTTGCCTAACATGCACAAGGCCCTGGGTTCAATCCCCAGCACCACCACCAAAAGAGAGAGAGAGAGAGAGAGAGAGAGAAATACAAGGTAGAGTTTCCAAGAAGACCCAGTAATATGTGTGGACCCAGGACTAACAACAGAGTCTTTTCACCCCAAGTTAAGCATCCCTTTGGTGAAATAGTATTTTATCATAAAAGAGATGTTCGTGATGTTTCATAAAAGGGACATTTAACCTGGGGTCAGGAGACTCTGGTGTTAGTTCTGGTGGACATTGAGTCCCCTTTGGTGTGAGGTAGAGGTTGCTCCTTTTTATACCACATGGAAGATAGCCCAAAACCTCAGATGCTCCTATCTCCACCACCAACAGAGGGAGTCAGCCAAACTATCATATGCACCCCAACTCAGGGCCCTTTGTTTAACATATGACTATAAGTGAATGAGATTGAGTTGGCCAAATGCATATAAAAATAAAGTAGATTGCTCTCTGGCCATGTTGGTCTTAGATCCCTTTCAGCAACTGTCAGGGGAGCTAAGTCCATTACTTATTTAGGCACCTGTTGTGCAGGGCGCTAGGCAGGTGAACAGTGGTGGGAACCTGTGGCAAGTGATTATAGAGTGTTAACCCCACTTCTGGTTCTGAGAGGATTTTACTAGGAGGAGATATTGTTCCCTTCACAGGATGCTTCCCACCAAGGGAAATATGGAAGAAGCAGGTAGGCAGAAAGGTCTAGACTTCCCTCTTGGGAAGAAATCTTCATCTATTCTTATGCTAGAAAGTAATACTTCCTCTCTATGGATAGGGTACAATACAAGTGGGTTTTTTTTTGCTTTTGAAAAGCCACAAGGCTGTCCTTACAATTCCAAAAACGCAATCTGATCAAGCCTTCTTTCTGCTTGAGAAATAGCCAAGGAGCCTGATGCTACCAGGCAGTGAGCTGAACTGTGGGAAGCTGCACGGGATCTCACTTTTCTTCAAGGACAGGTTTTTGTTGTTGACCCTGATTGTTGCTTTAGAAATACAGAGTGCCATAGCCCAGTGCAGTGGCACATGCCTGTAACCCAGCAAATAAAGAGGCTGAGACAGGAGGGTCACAAGTTCAAGGTCGGCCTCAGCAACTTATCGAGGCCCTAAACAACTAAATAAGACCCTGTTTCAAAATAAAAAGGATGGGGAATGTGGCTCAGTAGTTAAGCATCCCTGGGTTCCATCTCTGGTACCCCCCCCCAAAAAAAAAAATAGAGGGCCCAATATGCTCAAAACGGAAGATAAAGCAGTGCTTTTCAAACTTGAATATGCCAGTGAATCTCCAGGTGTTGTTAAATGCACATTCCCACCTATGTCTAGGCATGGCTGAGATGCTCTAGTCTAATGAGCGCCCAGGTGAAGCAGAAGCTGGCTGACCTGGGCGTGCACCTCCAGTGCCCTCCAGCAGTGCCCAGGCAAGAGCACATGGGCTCATCTGCGCTGGCCCCTCGCTGGCCTTTGCCTGTCCCTCCCAGGTCTGGCCCTGGCATGACCGTGTGCATCTTGATGTCTAGGTTTGTCCACCCCCGCTTCGGGCCCATCAAATGCATCCGCACCCTGCGAGCAGTGGAGGCCGATGAGGAGCTCACGGTTGCCTACGGCTATGACCACAGCCCTCCTGGAAAGAGCGGGCCTGAAGCCCCCGAGTGGTACCAGGTGGAGCTGAAGGCCTTCCAGGCCACCCAGCAAAAGTGAAAGGCCTGGCTCCGGAGTCCAGAGACCTGGAATAGAAACTTGGATCTATGCACTACGTTTATCCAACAATGGGACAACCAGGGACTGCTCATGCTGTGACATCACATCCTCTCACCCTGCGTTAGCAACGACTTTCTCGCATACTAACTAGGTTTGACTGTATTACTCATACCAGATTTAAAATTAGCTAGCCTTGCAACAACGTCTTACTGAGAGGTCTTGCCGAGCGCTGACACAGACAGCACCATGTACTTTGGTGGTTCAAGTCTAAACCTGTACCACGTTCAGAGATGCCAAATGATTAGACTGAAAAAGGGAAAGGGGTTTTTTTTCAGTCATTTTTTTCTGTCGGGGGTTTTCCATGACGTTTTTCCTACGGCCAAAGCAGACTGTCGTTGCACTTGCCTTTGTGCCGTGCTGGAGTAGAGAACGACGACATCTTTATTCTCTCAATGTAGGATAATTTGCCTTTTAACCTTTGATCTGTATCTTGCAATAGAATGGCTTTGTTTCTTTTCCTAGTGAACAGAAGCCCACTTGAGTTACTCCTCATTCCCTATCGTAGATGCCCTTCACAGGAGAAACTTCCACATGGATTCTGCATCCGTGGCAATGTGTACGTCTCTCTGGTTCTTTCTATATCATTATTTCATTATTATGTCCTAATATAAGTACTGGCTCCTAAGGCCAGGATATTACTATAGAATTATTATTCTCGCATGTAAACAAAGATATCTTTGCTTTCAGATGTGAGAAGAAATGAATTTGCTTTGTTTGCATTAAGTTATGGAAGAGTTGTAATATATACCTTCAGAAAGAAGAGAGGAAAATTAGTTATTTCCAAGCAGTAACTGTGGCAATTTTGCAATATCTTCAATAGTGCTAGTGACTCTTTTTTCTCCCTGGGTGCACATTACATGTACATAACCTAGCACAGCCTAGCTTGGGGTGCCCAGTGCATTGAATTCAGAAGTCAAACAGAAAACTTGAGTTCTAACGCAGAATTCAAAAATTTATTTTAAATCAGTACTATGAAAGCAGACATACTGATCACTAGGTACAAATCAAACCTTAATGCTAAAACTCTTCCTCGTTGTAATTTCAAAGCACTTACCTGTAAGCTAAGAGTTCACACCTGCATACTTTAAAAGCATTATTGATAGCATTTCAGCCATTTCACAAGCCATGTATAATCACCACTACAGAAATAAGGAAAAAAAAACAAACCTGTTTTTTAGTTTAGCATATTAGATCTGTAACATAACTGGGGTTGCTCTGAGTGAATTCTGAGAGCTGTCATTTTTGATAAGCCCCCTCATCACATGCCATGGCTCTGTCTTCTTTAGCTGCCTGGACAGATGAGGTGGCTGGAAGGCCTGGGAGCAGCAGTTGTGCCAGTCTGCAGCTGTCAACTGTGCCACCTGTCACCTCTGTCGGTTTGGTCTTGAAAGCTAATGCCTTCCAAGTTGTGCAGAGAGCTCCAGCAGATGAGAGATGCTTGCTGGGAGTGGGAGAGAGTGAGGAACCCGGCAGAGGAAGTTCCCTGTTGGTTGTCAGTGACACGTTGTTCTCACCAAGCCTTTGACAAAAGTGCTTGATTCGGGGCTGCTCCCGATTTTTGGTTGAGGCGGCCTCTGGGCTCAGGGTTCAACCCCCAGGACAGTGAATGACAGGGCTGCTCTTCTCTTTGCAAGGACAGGCTTCCTGGAACATCCAGCTGCCTCCTCTGCAGCTAGATGGCAGTGGTTTCCGGAGAATCCAGTTGGATCCCTGTTTTTGAGCTTGAGCTGTCAGTTCCCACAGGAGAGGAAGTTGTCAGGCTTCCAGAAAGATCTCCCAATAGAGTTTTTACATGAAAGGCACCAGGATAGGATTGCTTCTATTCTGTAGAAAGAGACTGGTCTGTGAACTGTGACAGGTGGGCCAAGGCTCTGGATTTGTATTTTGATAGGTGCTTTAATTTAAATGTGTCCCAAAGTGAGTGACTGTCTTCAGGAGAAAGATGGCTTTCATCCACCCTGTCATGACCTTGGGCAGTGGAACCTGGGCTGGAGGGGAGAATGCAGGTCACGCCTCCTCACAGCTGGCTCAGTCATTTCGTGCCTGAGGATGGGTGGGCCTGAGGGTGGTTCCAGTGGGGTATCATTTCTATTCTAAAGGGCTATTCTTATCCCATTCAAATGGGATTTTTTTAAATATATATTTTTTTGGATAAATGGGATTGGAGAGTTGTAAGTTAATTGATTAACCAGATAATCAATTCTCCACATCAGTGAATGCTCACAGTCTGGGTTTAAAACCTAGCGGTTGTCTGTGACCTTGCAACAAATCAGAGGAAAGAGGAAATCTCTCTGTCTTTCTCTCTCTTCTCATACTCACCTGTCTTCTAGCTCTTGTGTCTCTTTCCTCTTCCCTGTCCGTGCATGAGAACTGCCTGGGCTTCCGTGTGGAATGATAGCGCCAGCCCATCTCTTTCTCCATGCAGAGAGCCTCTCCTCTCTTACTAGTCTGTCTGTCTGTCTGTCTGTCTGTCTCTCTCTCTCTCTCTCTCTCTCTCTCTCTCTCTCTCTCTCCCCCTCCCTCCCTCCCTCTCCCTCCCTCTCTCTCTCTCTCTCTCTCTCTCTCTCTCTCTCTCTCTCTCTCTCTCTCTCTCTCTCTCTCTCCTCTCCCAAACTTCTGACTGTCACAGTTGGCACTCAGGGGGTGGAGATTCACTGTGTTGGAAGGTAGGTGAAGAAGTTGATGGGGGGGGGGGCTGGGGGGTTTCCATGAAGAATTCACTGTTGAGGAGGTAGGGGTTTGCTCCTTGGTTGAACCAAAGTGGAAAAGCTTCAGAATGTATTTTTCTGCTTTACATGCTTTACAAAAGAACATAGTCAGGAAGCAACCGAATCAAGTGGCCTTAGCATAGTATCTCCCACATATGGTGCAGAATAAGGACTTGTGCTCTCCCAGAAGAGCCAGCACCTGTGTGTGCATGACACCCTGGGGTCAAGGGGATTCACTCAGAGCTCTCAAGCCAATCCCTGCATGACTAGACCTTGCCTTAGCATCTTTTCTATTATGAATATTATCTTGTGTTAGAGTTAGGAATAGGAACTAATCTGTAAGAGCATGTCCCCAAATTGGCATTTGTGTGGACTAACAAGAGCAACAGGGAGGATTGAATTTCTGATACAAAGAAATGGTGAAATTAACAGTGACCGAGAGGAGGACTTGAGCTTTGTAGTACCTATTCTGATTTTAACCAGCTTCACCCCTGGTCTTCTGAGCACCTGAGAAGGGAACTCGTTTTTCAAGATCTCTTTGGACCTCTCTGGGAATAGAGTTCAACCTCTTTGCCCTGTAGGTTGATCAAACTTGAAAAACTATTTCCTCATCATGAATAACCTGAAATAGCCAACAAGGTCAAATATAACCATTTGCAACATTTAATTGTAACAAAAGAAGATTCCACTGGGCTGGGGACTAGCTCAGTGGCACAGCATGTGCCTAGGAAGTCTGAGGCCCTGAGTTTCATCCCCAGCACTGCGGAAAAAATAAAATTGCATTAATTGTGAACAGTGAAGTAAAGGGTTGTCTTAGTGAGACAGTATGTGGCACTTTTAGTTATTTTCATTTAATATGTAAAAAATTAAATCACTCAGTGCAAAATGCATTTAAAATCCTCCAAGAAGACAGAGTTCTCTGTTTTGTTTTCAAACCCTTGCCTCAAGTTCCGTGTTAAGAGTAGTGATTTAGAATCTAGACATCTTTTGTTGTAGAAAAACAAGCAAAACTGTGTTGCAAGATGGATAGTTGTAATGTTAATTTGCCACAGATCAAAGGTTCACAAAATATATTAAATTTACATGTACTTGAGGTACCTCAATAGATTGTTTCTTTTCTTGGATCTTTCCTTGAGGAATTTGGAGCTTTGGTGTCAGGTTTTTGGGTTGTGTTTTTTTTTTTTTTTTAATTCTAAATTTAATTTTTTTTTCTTTTGCCAAATGTGTGCGTACATATTCAAAGCAATGAAACGATTTCAAGCCATACAACCACGGGGGTGGAAACCCTTTTCAAAAATTTTAATGTGTTTGTATGTAAATAGATGTTTGTATGAAATATTTTCATGGTAGAATGAATATATTTAAATGAAGTTGAATTATTCCAGTGCTATTTAAACACATTACAAAAAATTTTGGTGAGAATTATCTGAGTCTATTGAGATATAATGCAGATCAATTTTGATTTTTAAAAATCAAAAAGCCTACGCACGACTCTGACCGAGGCAGCCTCCTGTCGGTCTGTCCGTCTGTCGGTCTGTCCGGAGAGAGCCCCGTAGGCTTTGCCAGTGCCTCCGCCGCTTCCTGGTGGTTAGTTTGGTGCTAATGAAGGTGTGTCCGCCTTTCAGTGACTCACTAGGGGCCCGGGAGCCAACCCAGGGCATTTGAGACACCGGTGCAGTATCCGGAGCACAATTTCTTTGCAGGGCAGCAGAATCAGAAGCCAGACCTGGCCGGGTGAAGCCCGGCCACCAACCGCCACCCCTACTGCCTAGTCACAATGTCAGGGAGGCTGCCCTCAGTGGAGTTGGGGCTCAGACCCCAGGGTGGGACTTCACGGTGTTGCCAGCGATCCCTGCCTTCTGACCTCCACCTCCCAGGGAGGAGGGGAAGGCAGCCGCCGGCCAGGGGCGCATTTCTCAGCACAGCCCATTCCCTGTCTCAGCTCTGGAAGACTATGCACCCCAGCACCAAACTTCCAACCAGAGAGAGAGACGTCCTCGGATAACGGGAATCCTTGCTTCCTCTGTCTGTGACTTTACTCACAGTTGTTAGAAGTCATCCAAATATCAAGACCACTCCCATCCCTAGGCATACCTCCCAGCCCCCTGCCTCTTGAGTTACTGGGGGAAAAAAAAAATCCTTTATAGTGACATTGGACTTGAGTGGGTTGTTTTGTTCTTGTTCATTTTGGTCCTGGATATAATGAAATATAAACATGACAAATTTTCACTGTGTATACTAGCAATATGAACACACATGCCAATGTCTCCTAACAGATCTTCTTGGTTACATTTCGGGGTTACTCTACTTCATCTTGATTGCTGTATGGAGAAATGACAGGGATGACATAAATGCCTGCTTATTTGGTATAAGAAAGTTATGTCCATGGTTCTGAGCTCCCTACTTTAAAAGTTTTTCCTCTCTGTCTCTTTTTCTCCTAAAAATGCATTTTTTAGTTTGTGAGGTATGTTTAAGGAGTGAAAGCCAGGGGGATGCTTCCGGCATTCGCCGCAACCAAAAGTCAACCCCATCTCAGTTAAGAAGCATCTTTGGTCTTTTATGGAATTTGAACAAAATCTATGAGCCTTATTCAATATCTATAATTCTATGATTTTTTTAAATTATGGGAAATTAATGGAAGATGTTTACATGAGTAATGTTTGCCCTTACTGTGTTATGAATGAATTTTTTGTAGAGTGTCTGGGTGCATGTGCAAGAGAGTAGGAAAAATGTTTCTGAAACAAAACTTGACAAATATTTGTAATGAAAAGTAAATTTAAAGATTGCTATAATTGCGCTATAGAAACAATGCAAGTATTAAACAAAATATACAATCATCCGCCTTTGTCTTTCTTTGGTTGAAAAAACAATGTTATTGTCCTGTAACTAAATTACTAAAAACTTTACATTACAAATTGTTTAAAAATGCTCTTCAGCCTTTTCCACTTTCAAAGCTTTGCAGTAAGATCTGAGGAGGAGAGCAGGAGGGGAAGGAAGTAGCTGAGTCCCCAAATACTCATGAATCTTGAATCATTAGCCACAGCACCAGAAGTGAACACATAAGTGTTAAGGAAACTCATCTGAAAGCTAAAAAGCTTCAACTTATGGCTTAAGGAAAATATTTTTAAAAGGTCAGACGTTGCAGGAGATTTTGGCAATCTTATGAGGCATTTGGGGTGAAGAACCCAGGAACTTATTTCTGCCCACTCACAATCTACATTTCTAAACCATCCCCTCCACTATTCCCAAAACACAAAAGCCAACGACAGAGAGAGTCGAAACAGTGCTGCCCTCTTGGCTGGGTCACCAGGACCCCAAAGCAGTTAACCCCAGGGAGTTGGGTCAGGCAACCTGAGACTCAGTTAGGCCTCACCTGGAAGAGGACATAACCGCTCTCCTGGCTCCTTCCATTGCCCAGTCCTTGATCTCATCACTCCTCCCTCTGCAGAAGAAAGGAAACAGAAACAAGGGTGATGATCTAAGT